ACAACAACAAAACGCACATTTTTACAACGGAAAATCTAACAGTTCACAATAACAATAACAAATAGCATTTTTGCTTTGCGCTTTGTTGTTGTTGAGATCTTGAAATGAATGATCACAACAACAACTACTATGGGAGAGAATGTGTCAAACCACCACCATCCGTTTACATGTGGGAGAGAATATGCCAGAGCAATAGACAATCTACTCTCTCCGTTTGTACATTTTTCGAGTTTTTTTCGCTTAAAAACACAGGAAAATGTGCAGAAATTCTAAAAAAAACGTTTAGAAAATCGGACCAATTTCTATCAGAAATTTCTGAAAAAAACGTCAGAAATTTCGGAAAAAAATCTAAAATCAGAGCAGTCGGAAAAAATTGTTTACTGGGACGTTACTTTTTCGGCTCTATTCTAAAAACTCCAGAACAGTGTGTGTGTGTGTGCGGGTAAACCGAAACGAACTTGCTGGGTCGAGATCATTCTCGAACACGTAAATAACGGACAATACGTTACTTTCTAAATCCTAATGGAGGAGGGGGTTAACATCTCTCCTCCGCTTTATAGGCGGGAGAGCAAACAACCACCCAAAAGTAGGGATAGAAGCCGTAGTGGAATGCGAGAAAAAAGACCACGCGTAGATGATGAACCCTCTAGAAATAACTCGATTATTGAAATCCAAATAAACAGCAAAAATTCAGAAGATCATAAAATGGCCCAAACCAAAGACAATTTTAACGTACCTTCTGTTGAGGGTGGAAACTCTCAGATCTCAAACCTAGAAAAAAATAATGGTGGTATTTTATGTGATTTTAAATACGATGTTGATCATCGTGGTCCATACATTGTATATGTGGACAAAGTAGACCGAAACGGAAAGATCTCCTCCATAAACAGTGTCGCACTATCCAGAATTATTAAAGATCTAGGTTTCGCTGGCGTCCTAGACGTAAACAAGATTGGCTTTGGCAGGGCCAAAGATGTATGCAGAAATGCTGCTGCGGCGAACATTCTAGCTGGCAATAAAAAATTGATGGAGTCAGGATACCAAGGAAAAATATTTGGACATTTCGTTTCGAAAATGGGAATCATTTTTGGAGTTCCAGTCGACATCACTGAAGACGAACTCACAAAAGCCATCCAGTCTGATGTGGACATCCTCAAGGTGATCCGAGTAACCAAAATGGAACAAGGTGTACGTGTCAATACACCCAGGGTTAAAATTCTTTTCACAGGCCTCGATCTACCCAAGACGATAAGACTGTACGAATTCACCAAACGTGACGTTAAACATTTCATCTCTTTTGGAACGTGCCTAAAGTGTTACCGGCACAACCACTATGCACAGCATTGCAAGCAAAAAATTAGCTCATGCCGTAAATGTTACCACAGACATGAAGAAAATGCACCATGCATTCTCCCAATTGTCTGCCCCAACTGCGAAGGTAACCACTCACCCATCGTTAAGGACTGACCGGCAAGGGAAAGAGCCTATCAGATTAAGAGAATCATGACCATGGAGAATGTGTCCCAAGGCGAAGCTCGCATCAAGTACGCTAAACATTTCTCAAATCGCTATAGTTTACTCGATGAGGAGCTAGAGGACAATTTCCCGGCACTCCCAAAGTCGTCCAACAAAAGTAAAGGAGAAAGGACTGAAACAATAAATAGCTATGTGGAGTCGCAAAACTAATCCATGCCAAACAACCAGAAGTAAATCATGGACAGATGCTCTAGCCCTTGGTGAAGCAGAACGGAAGCTGTACAATAAAATAGCAAAGAAAAAGAGGAAACTTTTTAAAATCTTTCAATGCCAGCTCAACACCGCAAACTCAACCAAAGACATGTGAGACATGGTCAAAAACACCAAAAATATGGTCAAGAAAAGCCCGTCAACAACGTGTGGAACGAGAAACAACAAATCGATTATCTAAACCTAATAGCGGAACAAGCAAATTCAAGTACAGGATCAATGGAAATCGCATTTGGAAATATAATCAGTGACCGCCCTCTACTGAATAAGGAATCTTTCGAACGTTTTTTGACCAGTCGTAGTTCCAGATCTGCTGCTGGACCAGACAATATCACCTACGGCATGATCGCCAGTCTTAAAGAAGAAGAAAGACAGAAATTCTATAACATTTTATTAGAAATATGGAAAAAAGGTGACTTTCCAGAAGAATGGCGGAAAATCAGAATAACGCCAATTCCAAAAAGGGGCAAAGACCTAGGCAACATATGCAATTACAGACCGATAGCGTTAATGTGCACTGCGCAAAAAATCCTGGAAAGCGGTATAAAAGAGCTAATCCTGGAGTTCACTGAACAAAGAAAAATCATCCCTGCAAAATCGTATGCATTTAGACCAGGCAGATCCACCTCATGCTGCATAAATGATCTCATCAATACTGTAGAGATCCTCAGGAAATCATGTTGTTGGCGCTTGTGTTGACGTGGAGAAGGCGTTTGACAACACCAACGTACACAAACTATCAAGAATCCTTTTCGAGAAAGGCTTTAACATGCATATAATCAAGTGGATATTCGACGGCATGAGATCCAGAAGATTAGAATTGGGTAAATGTACCAAAACCATAACAAATGGTATTCCTCAAGGCAGCGGACTTAGCCCTGTGTTATTTAACATATACACAGCACAGTTGCATCACACCACATCAGATAGAACCACCATTTTTCAGTTTGCGGACGACTTTTTCATCCTTTGTCATGATAAACTTTTCAACAAAGCCAAAGAATTGTTAACTCAAGAGCTACATAATATGTTTTCTAAATGTGCCAACCTTGATCTCATCTTCAACATGAGCAAAGTCAACATCATTCATTTCTGTAGGCGGCCACGCGATCTGGACATAAGCATCAACAATGAACAATTGAACCAAACAAACCGTATTAAATACCTTGGTATACATATCACAGCCAGTGGGTCTGCTAGGGTCCATGTTGATGAAACCGTGCATAAAGTGGACCATACCTGCGATTTCCTAAAAATTCTCAGCGGATGTAGATTTGGTGTGGCCCCATACAGGGCGCTCCATTTCTATAAAGCCTTTGCGCGTCCCAAAATCGAATATGGTGCAGCAGCCTTGTCAAATCTGACAAAAACCACAGAAACAAGAATTAAAACATGTATTCATGGATGGCTTCGCAAATCTCTGGGCCTTATCAGATCCACCCAACTCCAATCATTTACCAATTGGCAGCCGAACTTCCACCCCGGTACAGATTTCAGATAAGTACAGCTAAAGAGTTAATTAAAAGCAAAGCATACGGCCTCCCTGTAATAGAACAGGTTCAAAAATTAGGGAACATTAATTCCAGCTATGCACTAACCCTAAGAAAGTTCAATGAGATCATCCTAAACGTTGCCCCAACAAGAGCGACAGCTGCGTCTTCAAAATACATCAACATAGTTACAGATTTCTTTAAAGGTATTGCCACTAAAAAATCGGAAGCGAACATTCAAATTGTCAATCAACTCATAAATGAGAAAATTGCGCAACTGAAAGAAGAGAACTTCGAAATCTTCTTTACCGACGGATCGGTAATAGACAATATCAGTGGAGCCGCATTTTTGCATATCAACAGCAATACCTTAAAATCCTTCTATACCGACAAAAAGCTTGCGTCCATGACAGCGGAAATAATTGCCATCCATCAAGTGCTAATCTTTGCTCAAAATAACGCGTTGACCAAAATTGCAATATTAACTGATAGCAAAAGTGGAATACAAGCAATAAAATCCAAAAAACCACAAGAGCTATTTAATCGATGACTTAGTACACATATCAAACAGCGCACAGATCAAAGTTGAAATGCATTACATTCCAGGGCATCTCAACATAACCCAAAACGAGACAGTAGACCTAGCAGCGAAAAACGCAGAAAATGAAGGCACCTTTCTAAACATAAGATGGCCCATAAATGATGCCATAAACCATATACAAGACAAAATATGGGAATACTGGTCAGAAGAATACTCCAGGATTGCAGAGCACAGTAATTCCCACTTCTTCAAAATTTTCACCAAACCAGAAAGAACCCCCTGGTATAAAAAATCCAAATTACACCCTGACGACCAGAAGATGATGAATCGAATTTTGTCCAACCATACATTCAGCAAGAGCACCCTTTATAAAATGAATGCGGTACCCTCAGCAGACTGCGAAACATGCAACGCAGAAGAAACCATTTCACACATATTGTTCAGTTGCACCAAACATGACAACATCAGAAGCAAGTACAAATCCTTCAATGGAATCTTCACCGTCGAAGATTTCATAGCCAAACATCACTGGGAACACCTGCATGATATGGTCAAGTTCATAAAAGAACATGAAGGCACACAGACAAAGTCTGTTTTTTCGTGTGGCAATATACCCCCTACCTCTCCAAAAGAGAGTTCGCCAATTATCCCCTCCCCTTTTTTCCACCCTTTTAGCTCCCAAAGCGCTTAGGGATTTTAAAAATAAAAAAAAAAAAATTAGGAGTGTGCATAGTCCGATTTCGGAAATATTAGTATCAATGTTCATTTCACCTGAATCTTCAATATTTTACCTTTGGTGAAAGTACAAAAACGCTCGTATAAGGAAATAATCTTCAATTCGACTTATAATCCGCCAAATAATAGCCATGTCGCCAAATCAAAATTTAAGTCGCCAAACGCATTGAATTATCGCCACATTTGGCGAGAAATCGCTAAGGCTAGAAATACATAAAGAGCTTGAAGTCATGGCTTGGCATATTTTGTGACATTTCATAAAGGGATTACAGAGCCGCACCAAAATCCTGCCGTCGTTTTCCATTATAGTTTGACATTAATATGCCTAGCCATGACTTCAAGCTTGTTATGTACTTAGCCCTTAAGTCTGACAACCTTTCATATGGCAGCTAGTCGTTCCATAAATGCATAGTCGATTAATGTATCGATAACATCGGAATATCGAAATGTTTGATAAAACCAACTGAACACATCTTTGAACAGTTAGTATGGTTTTTACACTTTTACACGGCGGTGGAGTTCTCTGCGGATAGTTTTTCTTTATTTTTTTCCAAAAAAAAAAAAAAAAACTTACATAGTTGAACAATAAAATAATATAAATACTTATTAAGAAAAGCATTAACAACAAGTGAAGAAAATAAAAATTACCAATAGCCTGTTACGAGGGCTGAAAATACAAAACGAAAACTAAGTTTTGCTGGTGCCCAACGCACGACAAACATATCAAGTGTTTTTTTTTTTCTGTTTTGTACAAATTAATGTTATGCCGTGTGTTTTGTTGGCTAGAATAGAGGCATAGGGAGAGAGAAAAATAAAAGTGAATTGTTTTCGGAACACAACATTTCTGACGAACCAAATGAAAAACAACCCAATCTATTTTTATCTGAAAGTTAAAGAAAGCGACGGCAGTGGTGTGTGTAAATCAATTTTCTTCGAACAGTGTTCTAATTAATTGGTTGATGGTGCCAACTCTGGAATAAATCGTTTTATGCCATTGTGTGGATGGAGTAGTGGGTGCTCTAGCACTTAATTTGAACTCTTTCCATGTACATACATACAAAATAAATAGTATTATGCCCCTGTAAAAATAAACGTTAGAAAGGAAGGATCGCTCTACATTGCATTGGAGCAACGGAGAACTGCAGTTGAGTGCATTGTGCGACGATAGGACGGGACGAATAGCAGCCATCAATTATGAATGCGAGGTAAGAAGGAAATGCAATGAACAATGCCGCCCCCATCTTCGATTCGATTACTTGAGCGTGCAATGTGTATGTCTTCTTTTTTTTTGTTGTGGTAAACAAAGTGGCCCATTGGAATTTCTTGTTGTTTTAAGTATATCGAATTTTTATTCTGATGAAAAATTGCCAGAAAGACGAAAAACAACTGGAATTAATGGAAAATACTACGTATTTCTTGTTCCACGTTAAATATCAATTGCACTGTTTAGTTTGTATGCATGCATACAATTTGTTGTTTATTGCGGGTGTAATTTTCTTGGTGTTGTTGTTATGGACGGACAGAAGGACGTGAGCTGAAATCTATCGTACCGTGATATTGTAAAACGCACAAACAATAGCAAAAATACAACAACAACAATAAAACTTGTTTTCATCTCCATCTCAGTATGTTTCTCTACGTGCTTCTTCCAAAAACAAAAACAACTTGCGCATACGTACGCACACACATACATACTTCAACGTTGGCACACAAAATTTTGAAATATTCAACAGAGGGAGGGAGAGAGAGAGAGTTGCCAGCTAACATCATTAAACATCAAAGTTTGGGATTATTTCTTAAAAAAGGCCCAAATGAACAAAGATAATATGATTTTCAATAACAAAAAAAGATTAAAACAATCAACATCTGCAAAATCTTCACAACTATCAATTCGAAAAGGGAACTAAAAACTTGAACTTTCCCATCTTGGTAAAATGCTTTGTAGACCGCATTAATTTGATTTTTTTTTTTGTCTTCAAACAGCAAATACTGATAATTGAAAAGTTGCCCAAATGAAATATTTTTAATACCTATTACCCGACTTACCATCCAAATACGCAAGATTAATACCTTTATGGCAACAAAACAGAGAATTCTTCTAAACGTAACATTTTCCAATAGCACATAATCCAATTTTTTTCTCTTCAACAGAACAAAAAACCAAAATATTTTCTGTCACAGTTGAATTTGTTCAAAAAAGGCTAGCGTTGGAATTCGGTAGAATAAGAAAAACTTTTAAATTAGAAGTCGAGATAAAAATGGCTTTACGATAGAAACAGTAACCCCTTAATGATAACTTTTATTCGGCAATTAACTAACCGAAAATGTTATTATTAACGATATTTGCAGTGTTCCAGAACAGGGAGAATGAAAAATATTTTTACAGCAATAATCGATTTTTCCTTTATGACACCGAAAAAATTTCAAAACTATTTCTGGAACAGAGCAATTATAAGCATTTAGGAATTTAAAGGTGTTGACATTTGTCGTCATTTTTGTCATCAACATGTTACAGAAAAACACTACTAAAATGTATAATAGCATGTTTCCATTGAAAACCGAACAACGTTGTTCGCTCTCAGAATTACGTACACGAATTAACCCGTTCATACGGCACGATTCGTAATTCATAGTAAAATAACTCCTTTTCTCAAAAATTTTGTTTGTTGATTTTAATGGAAATTTATACGAAAATACATGAAATTCTCACTAATACGAATAGAAGAAATTATTGTTTTCCTCCCAAAGATTTATTATATCATTAATTTTACAATTTTCATTCACGTTTTCAACTTTTTTTGTAAATGTTGACATTTTGAACATATTTTTGTGTTTTTCCATTTTTAAATTCTGCTGGAGAGACACTTGTCAAACATTTTTTCTGCCGATAGAAACATTTTGAAAATATTGCCTCTTTTGTTTGCAGTTTTCTGTTGAAATTTCAACTCGTGGACCAAATGCGTACCTCGAATGAGAGAGAAAACAAAATTTTCTTTCGTTTGAATGTACATACGCGATTCAACATTGTAGTTTTCATTCATAATTTTCAGTCTTCCCAAAAATTTTTAAAATTTTATTAAATTTTTCTATTTTTAATTTTTAAATGTCATAATTTATTTTTTCGATAAATGCTCTCATTTGTTTGGGATGGGACATATTTTTTCGTTGTTCTGAGAGTGATTTGATTTGAACAACGTACAAATATGAGTGTTCGCTCAGAAAATTTTGTGTGAAGAATTAGGTAGTTTTTTCATAGTTAAGGGTCAAACAACGAATAGAGAGCGAATCAAGTGCAGTGGAAACGCCACATAAGCCAGAGAAGCCGCCAAATCAGTTAACTTTTGAATAAGAGGTCAGATCATACTCAGCCGTTTCAAACATTAGATATGATGTAAATTACACGCATACATAAATAAGTCTGAAGTATGAAATCTCAAAGCTCAATGAGAACTTTGTGCATCAAATGTAATGTTGGAAATGCCGATAGTGGGGCTGAACTCCCTTCATAAAGTGATTTTCAAGTCATTTAAATATACATACAAAATATCATATCGTGGGCATTTAACTGCATATCAGAGTTTTCCATATGAGCCCTAAAAATGTAGGTCTTGGGTGCAAGTGTAAACAAAAAATATATATTTTTTTGCACGTATCAGTAACCTGACAATGGACGATTACACAAAAAGCTATACATTGACCACTCTATACTTATATATAACAACATATTTATCTTAAATTAAAACAAATAAAAACCTACCAGTTGGATGTGTGTGTATCATAGGTTCACGCGAAACGGGTTCACGCGATACGAGTTCGGTTTTTTTCTACAATTGATTTATATACAAATATAAAATGAATTTTCTTTAGAAAGGCGGCAATTTATTTTATCAAGAATACTACTTCACCTTATCACCTGCATATTAGTATTGAAGTGAAATTATTGCAAGAATTCGAGTGAATTCAATCTAAATTCCGATGGCAACACTGCACACCATGTCGCACATTGTAAATTGCTAAGATGTAATCGTGTGGGTAGTTCAGATTATGTTTGGCCAAATGGATCGTTGTGGTCTCTTTTAGAAAATCGCTTTGCTGCTATTCTAAGAAGAGCCCTCGTACTAAATCCTATTTTAAATTGGTTTTCATCTTGGCCATCGTACTATGTAGTATAAGTTTAAGTTTTTGTTATTGTTTTTTGTTTTGTTTTGCTTAATTCATTTGCTGGTCGTGTGTATATGTGTGTACACACATATTTTCTGCTTGAACTCAGTCGGGAAGTTCGTGCTTAATTTTTTACTTTTATATGTTCCGAGACGAGCCAAGATAAAAACGATAACAGTTCCCCTCTATTGTGGGTTTACCATGTCAATTCGCGTATCTGTCACCTCAAAGATATTGGTCTTAAAAGCTTTTTAAGTGCCTCCATGCATTAAGAGGATCGAACAAATGTACTCTCGTAAATGTGGATAGGTAGTTGTTGAATAAATGTATGTGTTCGCATATATATGTATGTTATTCTCTTTTTTGGTTTGTTTTGATCGCAAAACAGGTATTGTGTGAAAGATGACGAAAAAGACCAAAATCAACATTGAACATCAAAATAAATTTAAAAAAGGCAACAGCAGCCACAAATCATTTGAAATCGTAAAAAAGTAGATTTGAATTCTCGGAATTTTGTTTGTTTTTAATTTAAATTTATTAAAAATTAATTACATTTTTTAGCATACCTATCCACATTTAAGTAAAAATGCTGTTGGCGTTTTTGGTTTTTCGAAATTTATAAATAATTCTGATTTTTTCCAAGAAATGTTTTCTTGTTTTATTTTCTCTTGGCACTCACACCTATCAGCATGAAACCTCTTATCATCAATAGCAAAATGGCCGTTATACCTGATGGAAAAACGTTAATGTGGGTTGAATTTATGCATGTATTCGAGGAAGTATTTGTAATTTCATATTCATATTTTGATTTTGATTTTTTATGTTGCATTTGGACTGGGCGGATAACAAAGATTCTGGAAGAACCATACATATTCTGTGCACGAATAATGTAGAATGGTTATATATATTCTCAAAATTCTGCAAATCTAAATGTTCAATGGTGCGAAGGAAGCTTGTTCATTGTCTAAAAATACGTTGAACGCTGTTATTATATAACAAGCATTTTCCTCATTTTATCCGTACGTCCCAACCACTGTTTATTAAATCTTCCTTGGTCTAATGTCGTTACAAGAGGATTGAATCTGTTTTGTTTAATATGTAATGACTTGACTATAAATTCTGCAATTTGTTATGGGGAATTATTTATTAAATATTTCCCACAACTTTTTTTGTTACCATAGAATTCTCTTAGATGTTCAAAATAATAGTTGTAGTTGAGAATTTCTGTTTATAAAAAATCTTTACCGTAGATCCTTTATCAATAGACATGCATTCAGTCTTGACACTCTAATTGCATGCCTTACACATTTTCTCTCTTTGTAGAACCAACCGGCCAGTCAGCTAGCCAGTATTTCCATTATGTTTTTTCTATGACCACATAAGATGCTACTAAGTAAAGTAAAATAGGAGGTGCCAGTTTCACATAACACGATTGGTTTTCCATTTAACATTTTTTCCTTAAAACAATATCACTTGCTTTCGACACGCACAGGTATTGATTTTGTGGCAGCTGATGTTCTTGTTGTTCTTTTGTGTACTTTCGTTTGGTAGGTAGTATTTACTTTGGCTCTGTTTGATTACCAATTAGTAATAAGCGAGAGAGAAACGTAAATGGCCCTAAAAGCCGGTCTTGGGCATAGCGATAAGTGCAATGAAATGCAGGTTTTATTCCAGCGGATATGCACAAGTTTTATTTTTAAAAAAGGACTTATCTCCGACCGCCAATGGCTCTGTATAAAATAAGATAAGCATAAATACACAATTTACTTTAAAAGAAATCCTGTTGGATATTCATTTTCTTAAAACGAGTTACCACTGCCCGAAAACCCTACTAATCGATTTTAAATGCTCGGATGGTGTTCTTGGTATCTGCTATTCAAATTTTACCTGTTCGTGTCACGCCTGGTATTTTTTGTTCTGTCGGGTAATTGCTTTACTTCCGTTTAAATGTGCACACACCCACCAAAAAGGATGTGCGTTTGTAGCAAATTTAACAATTGTCAAACGAAGTCACCCAAGGTGCTATAGAATTAAGAATTTAGTCACTGCTAAGCATGTATGTGAGGAGTTTTTTTTTTTTTTTTTTGAAAAATTGAAGCCATTGCCATAAATAGTACAAATGTAGATTCCATTGTAATTGCAAATTCCTGCAATTCTTTTGTTCTGACATGACTGGAATTTCTGAATTTAATAAAATGCCGCAGTAGCAGGAACTGTCAGTAATAAGAAATTGTAATATTTTGTATACTTCTCCTATTGTTTTATCTCTTTGGGTAATTTGCGGCATGTTTTTTCTGTTTGTGCCAATATCAAAGAACATTAGTTGTAACTGGTATTCGGTTTGCCACCCACAGGTCAAAAGTTGCATAGCATAATAAAAGGCATGCCAATAGTGTAATTGAAATTAATGTTTACATGGTTTAATGAATGATACAATTATAGCAAACAAACGAGAATATTACTGTAAAATATTCTTAATAATACAGGTTTTTCTGATGCCGTTATGTGGATTGGAATATTAATTTTGGATAATATATTTATCTAAAAACTCAGCAATACTGAAAAGATACTCTGCATATAAAAGAATTTTGAAATTTATATCCACTATTAGATATATTTTTAAAAACTGAAAACTCTTCAACTGTAAACACGTTCACGGAAACAAAAGAATTCAGGGAGCTGCAAAACTGGTTAGTCATTCTTAGTTTCGAGACTGTCATCAATTGATTACACTTTTAATCGAAATTTTGGGGCGGAAAAATATTTTTGTAGGTGAAAGGCCTTGCTGAGTATATAAAGATCTCCAAATTACCAAGAAGTCCAACTTTTTTGAACGAACGTTCCTACGCCTCACTCTCCACTTGATGGAAATTGATATTTGAAAACAGCTGCAGAATCTACCTCAACACCTAGATTGTAAAGCAGTACAACATACATATCTTATTTCTTTAAAAATTAAAATTATTCTAGATTTAAAGAATCTAATCTAATACTAAAGACTACATATTGTAAACAGAATTAAAATCAACACACATAATTCGCGAGGTGAAAATCGGTATATAATAATTGATGGTATCTAGATCAAAAATCACCATTAGTTCTAACATATGAGATTAGGAAATCTGAAGGTATATTACCATTTAATTTTTAGTATCATCATTGAGTTTAACATTATTTGGCCTAAGTAGTCTAATTCGAATAATTTATAGAATTAGGTAAATAGTTGACAAAGAGAACCAGTGTAAGGTGAAATCCTTGCGCAACAACCAATGGAATATTAATCGATTTTGATAGACACCCTTTATACAAAACTAGCTGCGATCTATGATATTCATTTGACCAAATTTGTATATGAACCCATACACTTTTCTTTATAATTTGTCAATTTGATTACGCTGAATAAAACCTTTTATTACCATTGATGTAAATTTTATCAGATTTGTTGTTGAGAGTTGAGAATCCATGCTGTTATGGACTCAATGATATAAAACTTTTTTCCAGCATGTGGGAAAGTGACCAATTTTTAGCGAATTGTTAAACAATGCTGTTAATCAAATGGAATGCTAATGTGACTGAACAATACTTGAGAATTACAGGGTGAGATGAAGAAACTGCAACCAACTTCAGACTGCTGTCATTTCTAAGCCACACGCCCGACAGCCGTTAAAATTATTCCAGTGACAGCTCATTATATTGTTTACCAGCGTACAAAAGCATTTTGGTGAGAATTTTCTAGAAAAAAAAGTTATTCGTGATTGAACTCAAGCGTAATAGTGTGATTTCTTTATATTTGGCTGGAAAACTACAAGTGGCTATCGTTAGAGCACTCCAGCATTTAAATGTGAATAAATCTTTTGTGTCTCGTACCATCGCTCAAAGTAGCCCGAAGTCAAGGAAGTGGACGGAAGAAAACAGCAACATCAGCAGAAAAGGTTCGAAAAGTAAAGAAGCGACTTGATCGAAACCCTCGTCGCAGTGCCGAAAAATAGTTCGTTAGCTGAACATATCGCAATATTCCATTCGGCAAATATTGACAAATGAGCTCGGGGTGAAGACATTGAAATTCCAAAAAGTGCAAGAACTTACACAGCGACAAAAAGAAATAGACTCAAAAGAGCTAAACAGTTGCTTTGCGTGGTCGGAAGTGGTGAACTGCCGAATTTGGTTTTCTCCGATGAGAAAAAATTCGTTGTCCTTCAGTTTGTAAACAAACAAAATTATAGGGTTTACTTGTCAAAGAGGTGAAAATGTGCACCTTCGGTTGGCAACCAGAACTCAAGCGCCGGCCATGGTGATGGTGTGGTCCTCCATAACAGCCGATATTAATCGACCGTGGCATCAGAATAAATGCCGAATATTATCGCGAAAATATTCTGGAGGGTGTATTAAAGCCTTGGGCACGCAAACATTTTGGCCGCAGAGCTTGGACATTCCAACAGGACCCAGCACCATCGTACTCAGGACGCGCCACCCATCCAGCGCATAATGGCTACCAAAATCTCCGGTAACCAATCCCTTGAACTATTGTGTCTGGAGTAATTTGGAAAGCAAGGTTGGCACTAAAAAATACCAAAGTGTCGATCTCCTCAAGCAAGCGCTTCGCCAGAAATGGGCCAAAATACCGCAGAGCAACATTCGGGCAGCGTGTGACGGTTTTATAGGCCGTTTAAAGGCCATAATTCGTGCTTAAGGTGACCAATTCGAATAAATCTAAACTTATGCTAAAATTTGCTCTTTCCGACATTTTTTGTTTTCAATCCATAAAACTAAAAAAAAATTGAAAAATTATGGCGTTTGACTTTGTTGCAGTTTTTTTATCTCACCCTGTATATTAGATATGCCATCTGGGCCTGGACTTTTAATTGATTTTAAACTACCTAGACTATTGCGAATCATCTTTTGTCAAATCGAGTGAAGGATTTTTGTGGAATATTTCGTCTCTATAACTCGATTATTTCTAAGTACATTTCATCCAATATACATTGAAACCGAAAAGATTTTTCAACATCGAAATTTATAGGTTCTCACGAATTAGAAGCCGATGTTTTAATGTTTCATGATTTTTTTTACATTTACCCGACAAATGCCAACGTTTTTTTTTTTTCTTACGCCCATTTATTTGTCATTTAAATACTTAAGATGTTCAAAATGTTTTAATGATATTTAGATACTTAACATTTGGTGGCTATCTATTGGTGTAATTACTAATGTAAAATAGTTACGCATATTGTTAGATGTGTGTCAAAACGCCAAAGAAGGAAAAGAAAAAAATGCCAGTTCTAGCCAGTAAAAGCGATTATTTGCTCTAGGGTGCATCTGTATAGGATTCGCATGTGGTATTATGTAACAAATGGTAGAATTTGATAGTAATAATTTGAAATTACTAGATAAGCCATCACAACTGTTGAACTCCTTAGTATATTTAATTAAAATCAATTGTATTAAAATTCTCTTTTTCATTTATTTATAGATCATCGTCATGGCTACAGATATTGTTCATCGTGCTCTACATCATTCTGCCATGTATCCATTGTGCTATGCACAATTCTCCAGGCGGTAAGTGTTATAATTCATATTGTTCAAAAATTGAATATGCAAATGTGCCATATTGACCTTTTCATAATAAAAGATTTTGCGAATTTTTTTAATTTAAAAATAAAGTGAGCAAACACAGACATATCTTTGCTTGTTTTGTTAATCGTTATTTCTTCACACCTTGGTACCTTGGCGGACTTGAGTCAGTATACTGAGTGTTTTTATTATTATTTTTTTTTAACAGAATCTTGACATTCTGAAAACAAGCCCCTAAACAAACTTTTTTGTTTGCCCGACATAGTCATAGGTAAACATTTACCTTACTTACTTTACTTTTGGACTAGCTTAGTTGTTTACGCTGACATATTTGCATATTCTCATTCATATCTATTCTATAATTATGAATATTTTATATTTGGTTCGTTTTGTTTTTATTATTAGAAACCCAACCGCCCAGAGTCGAGATAAAAATCAACAGCAATACAAATATAACATGTCGCATGAATTTAATGAAGTTTGGCAATAAAGTCAATAGCTCATCGTTGTATTTCGTTGAAGAGGATACGGGAAAGAGAGTGCCAGAAACGGATATAGAGGTATGTTGAAGTTATCTATATATTGATAAGAATACAAGACTGTTTGTCAATAAATAACACAATTTTGATATGCGATGCATAAAAAAGGGTTGCCTGTATCTGTGTCAATACAAGAAACAAGATATCTGTGGTCTTCATTAATAATTGTCGGAGAGCTAAATCAATATATTATTAAGTAGCTGTACAAATGAAATATAAGAAAAATATCAGCAATAAACATTTAACAAATGCGCTGTAATCAAATTTATCAAAAGATGAACAGACTGACTGACTGATTTTCCTTTTTCATTTCGCGAATGCTAATTTTTAGTATAATATCTCATAATTTACACAAAATAACGAAGAATTAAGCTGCAGATACATAAAGCAATTATCTATGCAGACTTTATGAAATTTTATAAAGGGTTTTCGGTGCACAATATATCCAGATATTAAATTAAATAAACTGCTTTTATTTTCAGATTATAAATGAAACCACAATTACATACATGTTACGAAATGCCAGAGAACAAGATCGTAATTATGTGTGTAAAAGTGATGGAATGGGTATTGGCGTCACACACGTATCAGTTGGTAAGTACGCCCACCATATTCTATCATGTGGTTGAATGTGCGAATTGTGTCATTTTCCAAATATTTCGCAAACATTTACTACCGTTCATTTATTTGTTTTAATGTCCAACTCTTTAACATTTACATTATTTGTTTAATTTTCATTTGCCCAGGTACGGCCCCTTTGGACGTTACAGACTTCAAGTGTCGAGGATATGACTACACATATATGATGTGCAACTTTACCATACCACACAATGTTATACTAACAAAATATAGTCTAAACTATACAGCTCAATCGGCGGTAAGTGGACAGCTGGATGTCACATTTTCTCCTATTCATTATGTAGTGGTTGTATGTTTGATTTAGATTTACTGTATTTATTATTCTGCACTAGTAGTAGTAGTTGGTAACACAGTTTTATTATTCTCGCACAGCAATTCATTTATGTTAACCTTTGGTTAGTAATTAATCAAATATTTACATACGTTTTTATTGATTGTGTGTGGTCGATAAAAAATGCAAACATAGAGTCTCACTGTTGTATATTTATTGCACCCCTCTATAGACTTATGGGAGAACAAATTAATCCACAATTTGTCTTCATTCCCCCATACAGAATCCCGTTTCCAAGACTGTCACAAACCAAAAAACGAAGACATTATAATATTTCCACACCTTGATGATATTGCGAATACAGCACACGATAATGCCATTTAAAATTTCTTGTGAGATAAAAAAACTGCAACAAAGTCAAACGCCATATTTTTTAGATTTTCTCTAAATTTTATTGAATGAAAGCAAAAATGTCGGAAATAGCATCAAATTTTAGAATAAGTTTAGATTTGTTCGAATTGGTCACCTTTGGCACGAATTATGGCCTTCAAACGGCCAATAAAACGTCACACTCTGCCCGATTGTTGCTCTGCGGTATTTTGGCCCATTCCCGGCTAAGCGCTTGCTTAAGGCAATAAACTTTGGTATTTTTTGGTGCTAACCTTGTTTTGTAACCACTATTTGTTGGCGCGTGCTGAGTGCGATAGTACTGAGTCCTGCTGGAATGTCCAAGGTCTGCGGCCAATATGTTTGAGTGCCCATGGCTTTAATACACCCTCCAGAATATTTTCGCGATAATATTCGGCTTTTATACTGATGCCACGGTCGATTAATACGAGCGGAGAGTGACCATCGGCTGTTATGGTGTCCCACACCATCACCATGGCCGGCGCTTGAGTTCTGGTGGCCAACCGAACATGCACATTTTCAGCTGACTTCTTTGGCAAGTAAATACGATCATATTTGCCGAATGGAATATTGCGATACGTTCAGCTCACGAGCCATTTATCGGCCACTGCGACGCGGATTTCGATCAAGTCGCTTCTTTACCTTTTAAACCATTTCTGATGATTTATGTGTTTGATTTCTCTTTCGAGATGATGTTGCTGTTTTCTTGCGTCCACTTCCTTGACGTCGGGCTACGCTACCAGTATCACGGTAACGAGCGATGATACGAGACACAATAGATTTATTCATATTTTAATGCTGGAGTGCTCTAACGATAGCCACTTGTGGTTTTCCAGCCAAATATAAAGAAATCACACTATCACGCTTGAATTCCATCACGAATAACTTTTTTCATGGAAAATTCTCACCAAAATGCTTTTGTACGCTTGTAAACAATATAATGAGCTTTCACTGGAATAATTTTAACAGCTGTCGGACGATTGGCTTAAAAATGACAGCAGTCTGAAGTTGGTTGCAGTTTTTACCTCCCACTCTGTATTAAGTACGAACTTTACACTCCACACTTGTTGGAAGAAATGCATTTTTAAATGATATAAATACAATTGGCAGCTTCTATGATCCAAGAAAACAACTTAAGTTAATAATTTATTAAAACCGGACGTTTGTTTCCAATGAATACCCATTAAATGTTGAACATCAAAATTTCAATGAAATAAAAAATTAGCATAATTAAAGAAACCACTGCTAATTTTTGATTGATTTCACAAAAATACAACGAATATTAAAAATTTCCATAATTTTTATTAATAAGCTAAATTCATAAGAAAGCATTTAGCGTTCATAAATTGATGTGGCTATTAAAAATATAACCATATAAATATCAAATTAATAAAAAGCAAGTCGATTTGACTACACATAATATGGTCGATCACGTATTGCCCTATATAGTGAGAGGTAGTCTTAAAATGTTATAACAAAAATATAATGTTTAGTACTCTAGGAAATTTGAATGAGTTAACCTGTAAAAGTTAGGTATCACTCGAAAACTGACACACTAAGATAGGCGAACCATGAGTGTTATCGCACCTTTAGCGATTTTCATTTATAAGGTTTATGCCTTAACATTGTTATCGTTTATGTGCCATAATAAAAGAACCTCCATTTTAAAATATGCTCGTTTCTTGAAATTGAAGCATATTTTTATCCATACTATTCATACTAGAGCTAAAACATTCATTCACCCATTTTGTACTGATCACACACAAATATCTAGCAAATAGTTTTATTCTTATTATTATTTAATATGTTGTTGGTATATGGAATAATTTTGCAGACATTGCTACACATAAATTAAATCGTTTTCTTAACAAAAATTAATACTTCAAAATGATAACTAAACTCTATATACCAACAACTACATAAACTAAAATTATAGTTTTTAAAACTAATATTTAATATTTTGTTTTATTTTTGGATTTCTTTCTTTTTTTTTACATATTTTTTGGGATTTCTGTGCATGCATTTTTTTCGCTATCCTTGCTGTAACTAATTTCCTTTGAATTGTATATTTAATTACGAAAATAACACACACTCTAACTCCATCCTTGTAAATCCCTAACGCACTGAACTAATCTAATCTACGGCTACTAACAACAATCGAACCACAAACAAACTTATATGATAAGAAACCTCCACACCATGCACCGACCGCAATACGCTCGTTCGTTTTCAATCAATTAACATGTGGACTTTCGAATAAACAATAATAATATCCAACATACACACACGCATACACGTGTGTGTACCAACACATAAAAACGATATTTTTGCAAAACAAATGAATGAATGAATGAATTGGTATTTCGTCGCTTGGGCTTGTGGTGGTTTTACTCTGTCTTATTTATCAATTAACATGAACGTGGGGAAAATTAAATAAATATAACATCAACAACGTATAACAAAAAATAACAATAACAAAAACTAAAATTGGATATGAACGACATACACATGCATGTACTATCACGGGCTTTTCTCTTCGGGCACGTTCTTCACATCTATGCATCCACTCCTTTTGTGTTCTATTGAAATGTGTATCCGTATCCCTTTTGTTGGGTGCACTCAAAAAAAAAACACAACCGCACACTCAAACTTGTAGTTATATCGCACTTATTACATGGACCAAAGCGGAAAACGTGTTTATCGTACAATTTATTCACAGAACTACATGTACACATGTCCTCTGGAAATCCAAGAGAGGCAGGCAATATGTAATTTAACACTGGATCAGAATAAATATCGGACAACTCATGAATTCTTCAACTTTACGTTGAGGGGTGAGAATGGCGTGGGCACAAATGTACAAAGTTTTTGGATCAATAATTATGAAAGCGGTAAGTATTGAATGCAACTTTTTGAATATCACAGTCATTAATATATTTCTCAATCCTTTGCAGTAATTCCACCACGGCCAGAGTACACCTTTGAGGACATAACATGTCATTCGGCCGTTATCAAATGGCATAACAATAAATATAGCTATTACAAGGCAAAAGGTTTACAGTATGACATTCGTCTGCGGCCCAAAGACAGTGATATCGATTGGATGAGCCATTCCAATTATGAGATACGACAGAAGCAGTCTGAATATAAGATAATTTTGCGCGATATTCCCTTCGCCTATGTCTGGTATGAGCTAAGCGTTCGAGTCCGTGTTAAAAAGTCGGCGCGATTTGACGATTCTTACTGGAGTGAACCGTATATTCAACAATTTCGTACAGCGCCATGTCCCCCGGATGCTGCGCCACTGACAGACAGTGGCAGCTTTTACATTGTTCCTACACAAACGCAAGTGCGCCTCTATTGGCATCAATTACCAGAATATAAAATGAATGGTCCCAACTTTACGTACGTGATTGAACAAGTTAAAATTGACGGTGTCGAAGTGTAAGTTGTTGTCTAGTTTTCCTTTTCGCTCATTTTTTTCAGTGCATTGTCTTATTTCATTTTTGTTTTGTTTCGCTCAACAGTTCAATGGAGCCTCTAGAAATGGATTTCATTTCTGCCAAATTTCCCTGGCATCGCCAGCACCGTTATGAATTTCGTATAAAAAGTCGTAACTCTGAAGGTGATTCGCCAGACAGTAACATCATAAATATTCCTGTCTGGTCAAAGCATAATGCAAGTTTAACATCGCCGGAGTGGATAAAAAATGTCTACGATTCCACAAACCGTACATACACTCTAACATGGGGCCCCCCTAAAAAGCAGCAGGGTTTAGTAGACTACACCGTATTTTGGTGTCAATCAAAGAAGGCAACACAGGATGAGTGTAAAGTGAGTGAGGAAGGTTCACAGGACAAAAAGGGGTTTGCCAAACTCAATTTTCTTTCTTTTCTTATTTCAGGGTACTATAAATTTTGCCCATGTTAGTCGAAATTCTACTCAGTTCATTGTTACACCACAAAAAGAGGATCAGAGCCTGAATTTAGCTGTATCTGCAAATTATCGTGACTTTAACACGGGCATGCATTGGATGTGTGCAGCTGATAGAACAGCCGATCTTGGAAAAATGGAACCTGAAGTCATGTCAGTTTCATCTCGCTCTATAACTATTCAACTGAGATCTGATCATATATGTACGTCATTGCTGGAAGGCTATAACATAACGTATTGTCGTGTACATCGCCAGCATAATAATGCTGGTGAAAAGGCTGCCTGTGCAGATAAGCCCATAACTCGCACTATACTTGGAACAGCCAAAAAGTTTGTAATTGAAAATTTAAAGCCTTTTTCCGTGTATAAAATTGAATTGCTTGTCTTCTCAAAATTGAAAATTGGCAAAATGAGTGATCCTTTAATTGTGCACACCAAAGAGGAAGGTAAGTTGTTTCATTCACCCGAAGTACGTGGCATTACTTTAATATAATGATTAATTTGCTTCCCAGCTCCCTCCAAGCCTTTGCAATTGCGAGCTCACAACGTAACTAGTAGTTCGGCCGTTTTAACATGGCTGTCACCAGAACACCATAATGGAATCCTAACAAAATATAGAATAGAGTAAGTTATTGAATTTTGACTACAAAAGGGAAATGTGCTTCACGTTTGCTTCTTTCTTTTATCAGATACAACAATGAGAATCACATTATCGATTGTAAGGCCGAAGAGGTTTGTACCAAAAAGGAAATGACATTTACGTTAGAGAATTTGAGTAGCTTCACCAATTATAAAGTTTACATAGTAGCCTATACGAATGCTGCCCCTTCAGAGCATAGTAATGACATTAATGTCAAAACCTTGGTGGGAAGTAAGTACTCAACGCTATAGAGCCGACTTGATGATGATTTTTCTAACCAATATCTATTGTGTTCTCGTTACAGTTCCATCGAACCCAAGTCACATAACAGAATCGCAGAATATTTTGCAATGGTCTAAACCTGAGGTTCCGTCAGGTCGGGTAGAGTTCTATCAGGTGGCGATAATGGTTTGGTATAAGAATGAGATACAACGTCAATATATATCAAATGTGGCCAACACTACATGCAAGTTTAATTTGCCAGTGTGTAGAGATTCAGACCAACGTTTTACAATCCAAGTGAGGGCAGTTAATGTGGCCCTACGTGAAACAGAAATTGATCAATACATATTCGCTGCGAAGAATCCAATGGACTCTGAGGACGACTTGGTACATGACAATGCATATTTTAACGATAATGATGATTTAAAGTGTGAAGATAGTGGAATGACGGAAGAGAAGGAGAGAATGATACGCAAATATAGTGATCAGGAAAAATATGTGCTGTACAAATCAGTATGGGAGAAGGCGCCTGTCACTAACTGTTCTGATTCCAAAATGAGTCGTATAACGATGTTGGCCTTGTTGGTTGTTGTTTCTTCCTTGGGTGTTATAGCAGCATTTTACGTTGCCCACAATAAATATCAAAAAATGGTCAATATAACATGTGCACTACCACCGGGGCTGGAGGCGTATCCAACGAAAAATGACGGAACCGATTTTCGCCGTAACAAGGATTTCTTTAATATAGAAAGTCGTCATTTGCTATCTTCAATAAGCAACGATTTTAGTAACATATGTCAGAATGGACATCATGTTAATGTCGATGAAGGAGGCATCGACGGCTTAACAACTGGTTCGTTAGATAAAAGTAGTGGCTACATTGGTTCTAACAATTCGACTCAATATTACGACGTAGACGCAGTTAGGGTTGCTGGCCGTGACAGTGACATAGTAGATCCAGTGTCTACAGTTGATGATGCTTATATGGTAATGGAACGTTTGAAACCAACAGATTGCAATTTAACTTCTTCGAACAGTACACTGGACAAAATGTTGTTGCAGACAGAAAGCAATAGTGGATACGTGCAGTCCAATCTTTTGACATTGAATGGAAAACCAAACCCTGCTTTGCCTCCTTCATTCATACCAACCGAAAATGGATATATAAAACAAGTCTCTACATTGAATAGCTTACCAACAGATCATGGTGCTAATGCACAAGTTATTCCGTCACAAAATGGCTATGTAAAGCTACATGATATTTGTAATTTATCAACACCAAAGTTTGCAATGACAGCGGCAGATGTGGCAACACCTCAAATGTCCATAATGCACACAGTTCCTACAACAACAATGTGTAACATACCCGTAAACAGTACGGGCTATGTTGCCCCGCATTTGCTGCAAAAGGTTTGTAAAATTTGTTATTTCTTTGTATTTGATATTGTAAATATTATTTCTTTAGCTTTTGTTTTGTACATGAGCTACTGCATTTGCCATCAGATTACGGTAACAAATGTTGCCCGATGAGGGCATAGTAATTTGTTCGAAATCTCGTATCAATTCAAAATTAATGTTGTTCTAATCTTTAAGGACATACTTATTTGTTTATAAAATCCCAATTCAAAATAGTAAAGAGCACAACGCAATTTATTCTCTTTTCAGAATTTGATACAGCCTCCTGCTACAAATGGTTACACCACCCCAGAAGCACTTGGTAAAACTATGGGTCTCAACCATTTATCACAGGCTATGATTGGAGGAGGGGGAAATGATGGCGGCGGGAGACTAGCCAATATGATACCGCCCATTTCCGGCTATGTTACACGGGATGAGCTGCGAACGGCATTCAGCCAGCAATCGCAGTTTAACTAGAGTCTCCAAAACTTCACCCGCACTGTTCTCCAATTTGTTTTCTACATTTTAAATACTTTTGTACAAAATGAGATTTTATTTAGCAATGTAAAACTATACCTAAGATATCATTCAAACACACCATTTATCACTTCATCTATATACATTTAATTTTAAAGCATTGTACAATCTAATCATAGTTAACATTTCACACATTTCATTCACACTCGCCTATATATGAGTTCATATATAAACTTCTATTTGTTGTATATTGTAACTATTTTTATTATTAGCAATTGTAAGTGAAAATCTGTGCTTTACTGGATTTTAATTAATATTATTATTATTATTTAATTTTAAGTTTGTTTAAATGAAAAATGTGTACCGTATTAAAACACAAATATTGTAGCGCCTCAAATTGAGTAGATAATGCCTATGTTAGGCCACTTTGCAACTATTTGGTTTATTCACACACAAACATATATACATATTTTATTTTTGCATATTAAGTAACATGTGTATTATTATTTTTAATATTTAGCTTTAAAATCAAAAGCAACAAAGCAAACAAAACGCGTTTAACCTTGTGGCCTTAAAACAAACAATATTTTGTATAACGAAATAAATATTTAACAAACGTAGAAACATTTGCACTTAATGGAAATAATTTCCCCTTTCAGTACTTAATATAGAACTATTAATTCTTGTATATTACGAGACTGTTTATGTATAGAACGTAAAATAAAATTCTAATTCGAATGTGATATGGGTATGACTACATATGTGCATATTGGTATAAATTGATAACGATTTATAGTTTACAGAGCATGCAGCGAAACTGCACAAATTTTTATCTATAGAGACTGATAGCGCGTTTACATGCAAAATCATTACCCAGGTTAACCCTGATAATGGACCAATCACAATAAATTGGAAATTGTAGAAAACATACATCAAATTATTTGCGGTTGTTCAATTATCAGGGTTAAACTGGGTAGAGGTGTTGGTCTAATAGTGCGCTTTTACACAAAATCTTTACCAGGGGAGTTAGTTTGGTTTAAGGATGTGCATCTTTACAGGATTCGCAACTGCCTCGTGTTCATCCTAGGAAGAAATAAACACTTTTGGGGGTAGGAAGAACGCATTTTTTTAAATTTAAAAATGTTAAACTCTAAAGTAGACAGAATGAGGTTATGTTGGAAAAATATATCCTGCAAATGGCCAGCGCTGCTTTGTTGGCATACACGCGATTTTGCAATGGGCGTTTTGCATAAACGCTGCGGTATTTCATTAATGCAGCGTCCAATTTCCTCTTTTAAGGCTTGAGCCTTCGTCGGCTTATTTGCACAAACAATCGACTTCCAGGCTAATTCTGATTTCCAAAACGCGAAATAGCACGACTGGGAAATGACGGATGCAGCTATTGGATTGTTTTTCTGGCTGTATGACATGTGGCAACGTCTTGTTTTATTTCTTCAATTCTAGGCAAGAAAAAAGTGGTTATGATTTCACGTTTCCGGATACCATTTCCGCTTGACTTGCCTCATTTTCATAAAAAAAAAGATCCATTGATTCTCTCTTTACTGAAGATAATTTTAGCCGAAAATAAGCATTTTCAAGTTGTCTCTCCAATACCCAATTAACGAACTTGTTCATTCGTCTAGAGCTCCATTTTTAGTAACCTCGTACCTTTTATTAGCAAACAAAAACAATTGATAAATGTCAAGCAATGACACCCTTTAAAAGCTAGAAGGAGAAAACAAGATTTATGGCGAGAAGAATATTTAGCAGGATGGTCTGCCTAGCCAGGGAATACCTTTGGCCAATTTTAAATGGTGATGGAATCTATCAGGCATGTTACCATTCTATGGAGGGTATATTAACTTTGTCATTCCGTACGTAGCTCCTCGAAATACTCATGTTAGATCCTACAAAGTATACATATTTTGGATCGGCGTAAACCTCTGATAATGTGGCAAGACTTTATTAAAAATTGACCTCGTCAATTGGGAAGCAATTTAAATTTGCTAATTTATTTTTTTAAATAAAAATAAATAAAAATTGTAAATCTAATTGTGTATTTGTTATTAAAAAAACATTTTTACTACTTGAAAGTATTTTAAAGTTACAAGATCACACAAAAATACAATTTGACTTGCAAAATCCAAAGGGGTTTGAAACCATATAGTCTGTTTCTTGTTGGATAACATGGAACATCTGTAAGTATATGTTCTATCGTATCTACCTCTTCTTTATCAGTTGTCCCGTTTTGAGGTCAGATTTCTTATACCAGTCTGTATGTCTACCACGATTCTAAGATCAGACGTACTAAGTGATAGAAGGAAGTTTGTTCTTCTGGGCTTTTCTTGTAGTCAAGAGTGGTTTTCGATTTAATTGCACTTAACTTGGCAGCATTGTGGACCGCTTGACAATCGATATATATAGTTATGCTATTGCAGAGTTATCTTAACATTTAGGCTGGCTTCTTGATTCATTAAGCTTGAGCACACTGGGTTAGAGCAGAATACTCCTTCATCCATTTTGGAGCCGTCTGTATTAATGGCCAGACCGTCAAGAGGAGGTTCACCACCACCCCAGGCATTCGTATCAGGAAAAGTAGCGTCAATGAAATTAAATTCGAGAAAGGTGAACATGTCACACTAATTATATTACCTTCACCTAGGACATACTGACTATTGACGCTATCCTCCAGCTTTCCGGCCATCCTCCCCAAGCATTAAGGTGTGCGCTAAACCTTAATGCTTGGGAGGATTAACTGGAGTTCGGCAGCCACGACCTTGAAGTTTACAGATTGATCTACACCAAGCTTAGATAAGACTCTTTATCCACTACTACTCACTTGGGAGAAGCGGAAATGAATCTTCCCCAACTCAAAGCTGATCAGTCTCCCTCGACTTCTAAGGTATGTCCCTCTGGTCTTGTCCGTGGCCACTTTGAGAACAATCCCGCTGTTCTTAGTAAAGGAATTCAGCGCACTCGAGGCATGGATTACCGTGGTATCCCTGTCCTCTTTCTTTTCAGGTCGGGGGGTTTCCCAGAAGTGGACAGGGATGCTGTCCTGACTTTGCACGGCTTAACTCTAGTTTAGTAAAAACTCTTCAATTTTTTCGAATTTTTTTCCAGTGGTAGGTATTTTTACCCTGATCCCGGGAAACTATTTTTTTCTTGGGGGACGGACCTGGGACCCCAGATTTTTGACCCGAAAGTCCGGGTTCAAGACCCCGACTAGACCCGGATCCAATTACTCGATATAGACAATATAGATATCGTTGGAAAGCTTATGCCTATCCAACAAGTGGTCACATGATGGGGTAAGATGTTACGGTTCGGAGGTTATAGTCAAATTATCGATTTTTTGGACCCGGATTTTTTATAAAACTCCCAAAAAGTCAAAAAAGGGTCCATTATGGGGGACAACAAAATTGTTTCCAAATTATAGCTGACACTCTTACCTTTCCAAAATGCTACAATTTGTGCTAATACCTTTACTGAGTCCAGAGATATGGGTCTTTCCATCCGCATAACCCGATTCTAACCAGTTCATTAAAATAATTTTTTCAATGAAAAAAGGGTTTATTTCGCGTAGCAGTCGTCGGAATAACAAAAGTTTTCTAAATTTGGCACTCTTTGTAAATAGCTGGCCTTCGGCCGGGGCTTGAGATTTTCTCCTCTGGGTATGTCCCACACCGGCTAACGCGAAAAAGTTTTCTAAATTGGATACCTTTTGTAAGTAGCCGGCCTTCGGCTGGGGCTTCAGATTTTCTCCTCTGGGTATGTCATACACCGGCTAACGCGAACCAAAGTTTTCTAAATTTGACACTTTTCTAAATTTGACGCTGGGATCCCAGGTCCGTCCCCCAAGAAAAAAAATAGTTTCCCGGGATCAGGGTAAAATCACTACCACTGGAAAAAATTTCGAAAAAAATCGAAGAGTTTTTACTAAACTAGAGTTGTTCCCTTTGCACTAACGGTCCCGTATCCGAATTGATTTATTGGATTGCTATCTGCTGTCAGAGTCAACTATCGTTTATTGGTTTCAGTGTCAGAACATTGTTGCCTTTCAGACTTCTCGTTCGCTTCGTCCTACTACCGGTAACACGATCCATAATCACTGCCCGAATCTTTCGGTAACTAAACCTGATATTTGTTGAGGCGTCCAGGTATCAAAGGAGCTTTGTTAAAATACAGTCGGTACCATGACTGCAAACCTGCAACACCGTGGGCACCAGCACAGAGGTTTGGCTATTTTAGGGACGCCGCAGTATATCTACTGTAACATCCACTGGACTTTCTACTATCCGTTAGCTGTGAACAATTAGCAATGCTGCCCGAATTTTAACGCATGTATTTTTGAATGAAAACTTTTTACTGAATACATGTTGTTGAGGTCCTCCTAAGGATTTGACCGTTGAAATTCACTTGTTCCATTATATGCTATATATACTAACTCGCCATCTAGCGATAATTAATGTCGTTGTTGTCACAAATAGCTGATTCATCTACCTGAGTTTTTAATATGAATATTTGACATATAGATGCCGCAAATCAAATGAATATGTCACAAAAATGTAATAGCTCTGGGCTAAGTTAATGCAAGTCATAATTTGTAATTTTTAAGTTAATGCAAAAGTCATTTTTTTTAATTCTATTGAATCAAGGCAAAAATGTTGGAAATAGCATCAAATTTTAGACTAAGTTTAGATTTGTTCGAATTGGTCACTTTTGGCACGAATTATGGCCTTCAAACGGCCAATAAAACGTCACACTCTGTCCGAATGTTGCTCTGCGGTATTTTGGCCCATTCCCGGCTAAGCGCTTGCTTACGGCAATAAACTTTGGTATTTTTTGGTGCTAACCTTGTTTTGTAACCAATTTTTGTTGGCGCGTGCTGAGTGCGATAGTACTGAGTCCTGCTGGAATGTCCAAGGTCTGAGTGCCTAAGGCTTTAATACACCCTCCAGAATATTTTCGCGATAATATTCGGCATTTATTCTGATGCCACGGTCGATTAATACGAGCGGAGAGTGACTATCGGCTGTTATGGCGGCCCACACCATCATCATGGCCGGCACTTTAGTCCTGGTGGCCAACCGAAGGTGCACATTTCAGCTGGCAAGTAAACACGATCATTTTGTTTGCTTACAACGAATTTTTTCTCATCGGATAAAATCAAATTCTGCAGTTCACCAATTTCGGCCAAGCGAAGCAATTCTTTAGCGCTTTTGAGTCTATTTTATACCCTACAACACTATGTGTTGGGGGTATTATAAGTTTGATTGGGCCAGAATTTATGTAACACCTCGAAATATTGGTTTCCCACATAGGAAAGTATATATGGATCTTTCTAGCTCGTCGAGCTGAGTCGATCAAGCTATGTATGTCCGTCCGTCCGTCTGTCCGTCTGTCCATTTTAATTTGTAATCACTCTACAGGTCGCAATTATGGCCCGATCTTCACGAAATTTAAAATGTAGGTGGGGTTAATGTCAGAATAGAACCCTATTTCTTTTGGAGATGATCGCCAAAAGTTTAGGGTTTGAAATGGACCAAATACTGAAAAAATGTCGGATTTTGCAGTAGCTATACAGGTCGCAATTATAGACCAATCGACGCGGAATTTCGCATGTAGCTAGAGTTTGGGTGGTCATCGGATTATATTTAGCGAGTAAAATAGACCATATCTTTTGTATTGAAAAAATTCGAAATTTTTCATTAAACCGCGAATATTTTAAATCCCGGCGAAA